TGTAAAATGATTATGAATCAATAAAAAATGTAAAAAAAAAATTAAAACAAATTAGTGCTATGAGGAAACATTAAAAACAGGATACATGTACTTCCTCTATTACCAGTCATCCCATTTTATTTTATTACTACTTCCATCATGTATCTTTTTTCACTAAATCATAACCTGAGGCAGCAAGAACCCTCTACTGTGCTCACTACTTCAGCCTAGCACATGCCTGGAACATAGATGGCATTCAAATATTCACGGAATGGATAAATGTTCACAAATACTTGCTGGAAAATTCTTGTAATTTGGTAGAAATATTTGCTCCAAAATGTCTTTTGCTTTCTTTACATATATACACAAAGCCATACTGACTGCTAAGCCATCTAATTCTACCAATCCTACCACCCTTAACTATTTATTAACATCTCCACATTATGCTCACGCGTTCATAGGTTATCTACAATTATAATGGTGCTACCACTCTGCCTGCAAATCAGGCACAGTTTCATCTTCTCAAAGCTTTCTCTATTATACTTCTGCTCTAGTTTTTATGATGTCTGGATTCATTTCATGATGATGTCAGTGAATCTTAACAGAATATGGAGCGACTAGCCCCCAAACATCTCTAGCCCAATAGAAAAATACTGATCTGCAAATTTTTAGACCAGAGACTTCATCATGACTTAAGGAATAAAGGAAAGAAAAATAGGACAAGTATCCATTTTTTCCTTGAGAAAACAGACTGGTCAGCTACACAAAAACTGGTTTTCCACCCCGATTTGACCATTTCTCACGAAACTACAACTCTCTGTAGACTGAAAGCTACACTATTCTGCCATTTAAGTCCTCTCTGCAGCCATCTACAATGCGCCAGCAAAGCAGTCCTTCAAACTCTGGTTGAAATGATTTCCCTGCTGACCTCCAAATATAGCAGCTCTTATCACATTCCCATATTTTGATTCATACATACGTATCCTATTCTCATCTACCTAATGAAATCCTAAGTATCTTTCAAGGTCTTCCACAATTCCTTTCTAGGCTATAAAATCATCTTGACCAAACCAGTTTCTACACTGACTTCTTTTCAGAATTTCTGATATAAGACAGTATATATCTGAGTAACAAGTATTTGATTTTAATATACAAATCTCTACCATTTAATGTGGAATATATACCCAATAAGATTATCACTTCCTCTTCGATGTCTCCAGTGCAGCACCTACAACAGCAACAGTGCTGAGCATATAGATAATCTTTAATAAATAATAGTAATTGGCTCCATCACCAATCATCGACTGATAGAACATAAGGCAATCAGTCCCATGATCTCAAAGTTTAGAAACAATCACCACATCTCCGCATATCTGAACTTTGGTCTATGACTTAATGTCAATGAATGCTTGTCTTTCTTATTTGGGCCTCTTCTTTGCTGATAAATCCATCAACAGATAAATACCGGCTTCCTATATATTGCAAATCATAAACCGAGTTTCTAATAAAAATCACAGTTAAATTATAAGCCAAAACTTCCAGTAAGATAGTAAGGTTTACTGAAGAGAGGGACCTAAGGTGACATTTTTGCATGGGAAGCTCCTTAATCATCAGGGTGGGTGAGGTGGTTTTCTCCTTATTGATATGCCTCCTACCTCCCTATCTCAATCTCAATTTCAGTTCCTTCCATCTATACTCCCCCAAAAAAGGGAGTGAAAAGAAGGGATTATTGGAGTTCTGAGTCCCTTGGGTAATTAGAAAAGAAAATCAAAACAATCCCTGCATGTGATTGAGACTGACGCTCGAGAAGTCTAAAGCAGAGTTGCCTAACCGATGAGCTGCTGCAAGTGGTATCAGTATAGGAGTTTACCTGTATCAGTGGTTCCCAAACTTTAGTACAGAATTAGGGTGCTCAAGATTCATCTTCTGGAAACCATTTCCAAAGACTGTCAGGGAGCAGATCTGAGAATTTGCATTTTGGACAAACACTCCAGCTGGCTCGGATTTAGGAGATCCATGTAGCTTTCACTGGAAAATCTTTATCTTTATATATAGTATCTATATCAAAACTTATGTTTCATTCCACCGGTGATGGATGGAATAATTCAGAAAAGAATCTTCAAAACTGAAATGGCTGACCACACTATTAAAGAGACAGCCTTGGGATATTAATGAGCATCCTCAGTTGACTCAAATCTACTCAATAATAGCCAATACCCAGTCCTTTTAATAACATTCAGTGCTTAAATAAAATATGAATATTGTATCTAGTTTATTCATTCAGAAAGAAACAAATACTTATCTAACCGGTTAGGGAGAACTACCCGAGTTCTAGCTGTCTGCAACAGCATTCTTTTGAAACAAACATAGGCATCTGCACATAAACTTCAAATAAAAATGAAGTTAGAAAAAAAAAGTGCCATACCTGGTAAAGTCTGGTGGAACAGGAGTGGTAACAAAGGATGCCATGGGCTTTCGATGAACTTGCTGAAACATCATAAGGATCTCTGAGCTCTTAGATATCAATTCACTCTTACTACAAGACCGCAACTGTGAGAGGGGAAAAAAACTGTCTGAATAAACAAAATTACCATGCACTGGCATCTTAAAATCTTTAAAGAAGAAAAATGGAAATTATTCTGATTATATACTGAAAACAACGAGATCAAGAAAAATAGAGTAAGTCAAAGTGGGTTTGAGAGTTAAGAATCTATAAAGAATCTAGGCTTACTTATTTCCATTATAACAGTAAATGCACTGAATAACTATTTCATTTTAATGTATTTTTGTCTCCTTGTATATTAGCATAAATCCAATTTTAAGCAACTAGAAATATATACTAGACAGGTACGGTGATGCCATTATGTACATAAATGAACAAAACTCCAGAGGAAAATAGCCTTCAAACAAGGATTTCTGAAACTGCACTTCTGGGAACAGAGAAATGTTAAGATGTAATACACAGAAAAAAGTCTCATTAATCTATATCAATTTGGGAAACATTAAGTTATACCAAAGGTAAAAAGTGAGGAATCCAACTTTAGCAAAATAAGCATGGCAATTTTAAGACTACTACTGATTTTGTACTCGAGACAACCAGTTTGAAGTCCTAGTCCTGCCACACACGAATTATATGACTCAGAGTCTGTTAATATGCAAAACTGGAATTATATCTCCTGCTGAGTTTGTTACACTCATGAAGCTGTATGTGAGACAGCTTTGTAAACAACTGTTAAGGGATGAAATGTGTCCCTGTCCCAAACTCATATGTTGTGGTCCCAATCCCTAGTATCTCAGACTGTAACCATATTTGGAGACAAGGCCTTCAAGAGACACAGACAGAAGGCAGCTGTCTGTGAGCCAAAGAGAGAGATCTTGGGGAAAACCTAACCTGCCAATACCTTGATCTTAGACTACCAGTCTCCAGAACACTGAGAAAACAGATTTCTGCTGTTTAAGCCCTGAATCTACAATGTTTTGTTATAGAAACCCTAGCAAACTAATACACTACCAAATGCCATATGAATGATACTCATTAAACCCACTATATCTGGGTTTATCTTTTAAATGACAGCTGCTTATAGCTCACCCAAAATAATGATATGATCTGACTGGTATCATATGATAAATAAAAAAAAAATTACAGCTTTTATTCAAATATTTACTGAATGCATAATATGTGTATACTTCCTTGACCTTATTTTCTCCAAAGGTAAACTTCTGAATAGATACCTTTACTAAAGGTAAGGTAGTTCCCTTTTACTCTAAATTTGCTGAATAATTTAGCCATGAATGAGTATCAAATATAACTGAATGTTATGTTAAAAATAACACACTTCTGAAAAACTCATAGGTCAAAGAAGTCACAAGGGATCTAAGAAAGTATTTTGGACAAAAAGGTCTGAAATCATTAACCCCAGCTTCCATTCTAAGATCTTAGAAAAAGAAAAGCACATTAAACTCAAACTAAGCAAAAGAAAGAAAACAGATCGAAACAAAAATTAATAAAACAGAAAGCAGAAAAATAACACAGAAAAAAACAAAAACAAAACCCAGATCTTTGAAAAGAATCAACAAAAATCAATACCCTCTAGCCAGACTGATCAGGGAAAAAAGATAACACAAATTACCGATGTCAGGAAAGAGAGAAGAAATGCCATCGCATTTTATAATTAAAAGGATAATAAGGGAATATTATTAACTTTATGCCAATAAATTCAGCAAAGTCAAATAGAATGGAGTAATTTCTTGAAAGACACAAACTACCAAAGCTCACTCAAGAGAAAACAGGTAATGCGAACTGCCCTATGTCTACTAAAGAAACCACTCCATAAATAAAATGAGGCCCAAATGGTTTCACTGATGTATTCTATCAAACATCTAAGGAAGAAACATTATCAGTTCTACACAACTTCTTCCAAAAAACTGAAGAGGGCATAATTTAAAATTTAAATACTTTGAGAAAAGAACACTACAGTGTAATATCCCTCACACAAAAATACAAAAAATTTAAACAAAATCTTTTCTAATCAAATCCGATAATATGTTAAAAGGACAATACATGAACCAAAGCAGCATTTTTATCCCAAAAGGTGGTTTAATATTAAAAAAAAAGTTAATCCATTTTAAGAACTAAAAAGAAAAACCATACAATCATCTCAATACATGCAGAAAAAGACTTTGACAAAATCCAACATTCAGTTCTAATGAAAACTCTCAGCAAACAGGAATACAGAGGAATTCTCAAATCTGATGAAGGACATCTATAATAAACCCACAGCTAACATCATATTTAAATCAATATTATACTGGAAGTTCTGGGCAGTAATACCTGTCAAGGAAAAAATAAATAAAAGGCAGCCAGATCAGAGAGAAATGTCTTTATTCAAAAATGTCAAGACTATACGCAGGCAATCCAACAAATCTACAATATAGCTGCCAGAACTAACAAATAATTTAGCAAGATTGTAGGATACAAGATCAATATATAAAAATCAATTGTATAGACACAAGTGAGAAACTGGAATTTAAAAAAAAAATCTATTATAGTATCAAAAATTCTGAAATACCAAATAAATCTGACAAAAGTTCTGAAATAGTGAAATAAATCTGGCAAAAGACATGAAAAGCTTATACTCTAAAAACTACAGAACACTGTTGAAATTATAGAAGATCCAGATAAATGGAGTCTTCTTAGTGAAAGAAAGACTCAGTATTGTTAAGATGTCACACATCTCTAAATTAATAGATAGACTCAATGTAATTCCAATCAAAACCCCAAAACTTTTTTTGGTAGAAATAACAAGCTGATTTTAAGGTTCGTATGAAGATACAAAGGACCTGGAATAGTCAAAACAATTCTATAAAAGGAAGAGCAAAGTTGGAAAGCTAACACTATCTTTTATTACAAAGCAACAGTAATCAAAACAGTGCAGTAGTGGCATAAAATAAATCAACAGACCAATGTATATATATTTGAATACGACAACTATTTTCCAAAAAGATGCAAAGGCAATTCAGTGAAGAAAGGCTAGTCTTCAACAAATGGTACTAGAACTACTGGATAGCCATATACAAAAAAACAAACAAAAAGAAAAAAACTACCTTGGACCTACACCTTACATACAAAAATGGGACAAAATGGATCACAGGCCTAAATACAAAACCTAAAACTACAAAACTTCTGGGAGAAAATCTTTGTGATCTTACATTAAGTAAAGATTTCTTAGCTATGACAGCAAAAGAACAAAGTGATAACTTACCTTTCATCAAAATTAAAAACTTTCCTTCAAAAGATACTTTCAAGAGAATGAAAAGACAAGCCATAGACTTGAAGTAAGTCTGCAATACACATATCTAATTAAGACTTATATTCAGTTCTTTATATAAAGAACTCTCAAAGCTCAACAAGAACGCAAACAAGTCAATACAATGATGAGCAAAAGAGCTGAAGAGACACCCCCACAAAGAAGACACATAGATGGCAAAAAAGTTCAAGAAAGAATTCTTAGCTTCATTAGTTTTAAGGCAAATGCAAAATAAAGCCATAATGAAACATTGTTACACTCCTATGAGAATAGCTAAAATTCAAGATTGACTATATCACGTGTTAGCAAAGATATGGAGGAAATGACACCCTCAAAGTTTACTGATGGAAATATAAAATTGTACAATCGCTTCAGAAAACAGCTAGCATTTATTACAAAGTTAATCACACATCTACCATCTTAGGTGGATCCGAGAGAAAAGGCAATATAGATCCATATATAGATTTGTAAATGAATGTTCACTGCCATTTAATTTGTAAAAGCCAAAAGCCAGGAAGCAAACCAAATGATCATAAACAACTGAATGAAAAAAACATTGTGGTAATATACATAAAGCAGAGTATCATTCAGCAATTAAAAAGGAAATAACTATAGATATAAAAATAAACTGTAAAATAATTTTGCTGAGTCAAAGAAGTCAGACATAAAACAAATTATATAATGTATATGATTTCCAATATATAAAACTTTAGAAAAGGTAAACTTAGGGATTTGCCTGGAAAGGTAAATGTTGGGAGAAGCAGAATGAGAGTTTATAAAGAGGCACAAAAAAATTTGGAGGAATAGTCACTACCTTGACTTTGGTGATGGTTTAACAGATGTATACCTTTGTCAAACTTATCAAATTATGCATTTTAAATACATGCAACTTACTTTTTGTCAATTATTCTTCAATAAAGATGTTTTTTAAAAAGTGCATAGATCCCCAGATCCTACCCCTACTCCACCACAGCTGGTTTAAATTTGTCCCATCACTCCAGCAGTTTATTCTCTGGAGGGGATAAAATAAAGTCTCTGAACTAGGGGAATAATATGCACAATAAGAACAGGAGTACTGAAAAGAAAAACAAGAATATTTAAATACTTATTTACTGACTTCTGTCAAACTGTCAACCAGATGTAAAAACTGAATAAAAACATTTTCAGACATGCCGTCTCAAAATACTTATTCTGATTATCCTTTCATGAAAGCCACAGAGGAAGCATGATACCGAAACATGTAAATCAAGAGCACAGAAGCCATGGGAATCAGGAAACATGGAATTCTACCTAAGAAAAAAGTGAAGGGAATTCCAAGGATGATAATTAAGGGAACAATCGCGGTAGACAGCTGTGTATTAGGCACAGAGAGGAATTCAAGAATTCCAAAAACCAAACTTAAGACAAAAAAATTTATGAAATATTTATGTGACACTATATATTTTATCTATTCATTCACTATGACTTTATCCCCACCTCTAATCTTAAATTATAAACTCTCTGAGGACAGATTTTATTTTTTGCCATTTTGTCCACTGCTGTGTTCCAAACTTCTAAACCAATGGCTGCTATCTATTTGGTATGTAATAAAAATTTCCTTAATAAATAAAAATGCTAATTTTATCCTAAGAATCACTATACATAAGTAATTGGCAATAACATTCTATCTCAAAGTCACCACTTAAGTCACAATGTCAGAAGATTTTAATCTTTTATAGATTTATAGATTCCTATTGGCTATTCCTAGCAAAAATATTTCCATTTTTCCAAAAACAAAATAAATCTTATTAATTTTATCTAGTTCCCAAATATAACAGAGAAAATTTGAAAAGAATCAGCTGATTCCTATTTCATAAAAATCTCTGGTAAAGCACATAGATCCCCAAATCTTTTGATCTCATGTAAATCTGTCAAAAAAAAAAAACTTTTAAAGCATATGAACAAAAAAAAAAAAAAAGAATTTTATCTCATTTCATTTAATATTTCATCACCTGGTGCTCTACCTCCTGAAGTAAGGATTCCAACAGCTCTGTTTCTTGTGTCAGAGATGTCTTCTGACCTATTTAAAATAGCAAAAGACCAACATTCAGGCTCATCATTGGTTTAAGAATGAAATTAACTTTCAGTGAACATATTCAATAACAAAGAATCAATTTCAAGTAAGCAAAATTCCTTCATTATAGCTACCCTAAAAAAATTTTCCCAGAGTTTTAAGAGGTCGAATCTAATATTACAGTAGCTTTGATAAGAGGATTTCAGAACCAACCCTAACTACAGTTTTAGACAAAATGCAATATAGGTTTATTAAATTCTTTTAAGAAATACATAATGACAATGTATCCTGTAACGAAATTAATGTTATTGTTTCTTTTAAAGGAATGTAAAAAAGTAGAAAAGTATAGTTTTTAATCAATCTACTATTCTGAAATAATTCCTCCCCAAAATTTAACTGCAAACTAAGATGAAGGATGTAGTAAGTGGACAGATGTTTATACTAAATGTCAGCAAAAGGTATGTTCTTTGAACACAATAGGAACCTGTAAAAAAGAATGCCCAGAGAGGAAAATAGTCAAGAAACTGGAAATAGACAGGGATAAAGGAACTATTATTACAGAAATTATTATTATAAAAAAAGAAGAAAGAAGTTGCTTTACATGTTTTAAAAAAAAAGAAAACAAGATAGGCATTTTCTTTGTAAATTACCAAGTCTGAAGAACTGGACATACTCCATGAAGTCAAAAGTATCAATTTGGTGTAATATTAATTGATACAGAGGGACAACTAATAGGTAGAACTTTTATTTTTTAAAGCCATCTTTTCTTAGCCTATAACAACGCACCAAACTTAACCCTTCAAAGATTGAACCACAAGGAGGCTCAAAGCACATGTACACAAGCAGCACAGAAAACACTCACCCATCAGTGTAATAAGCTTATTCTTCAGCTGTGTGTCTAACCGTGCAATCATCATCTCCACTGCATTTCTAATTTCCCGAACACGCTCATCTTTTGCATTTCTTACAGCTTCTACATTTCTTTCCTAGAAGATAAACAAGTAAAAAGTTTTAATTGAAGAATTTTTTAAACAGGAGTAAACAGACATTACTGCAATCACTGCAATTATTCTTGAATTCAGTTGATTTCCTCTTTAAAAACTGTAAGTCAATAAAACTTGATTGTTCACATCACAGAAAACTCAGAAAAAATTCTTAAAGATAAGCAATTAATGAATGAAGTACATGATATTTTAATACTTAAACAGAAAGATATGTAATTATGAAAAATTGCTTTAAGTAACACATACAAAACATACTCAAGCCGCCAAGCATATAGGAAACCACTGTTCAAAAACAAAATATACTAAAGCCAGTTCACTTCATGCAAAATCTTAAAAGAAATGAAAAATTTGAAAAAACCATATCTACTCTAGTTTACAAAGTTTTAAATTTGTTCCAGAATTAAACACAGAAAGACTGCAGAGTACATACAAAATTTTTAATAGCATACTATCAAAAATAAAAAGCAATCTTTCCTATACTTACTATTACTATAAACAGCACAAGCAATGAGAATCTCAAACTAGAACACCCTCCCTAATGACCAAATTATAAAGTGACAAGAGAAAATAACAGAATAAAAGGCAGTTAAATGAAGGCCAAATAGAAGCCATCCAACTTGTTTATATTCCAAAATGACTTTGCAGGTAGCATACACACAACTCAAAAACATTATTTTCTGTATAAAGGATGTTATAAATGATGATTTTAATCTTAATTCCTGCTGGAGTGAAATAAAGATGACATCTTGAGTTAGGAATGGTATGCAAACCTCACTAAAAACAACTGTCATTCTGGTAACTTTAAACAAAACATATTCCAAAAGTATATTTAGTACTTAAATGATGCTTATTACATTTTCCCATGGAAATAATACTACATATGGTAAATAGATCACCAAGGCTGTTTGACCCATATAGTATCTAAAGAGCAATGTTACATATTACTCTTTAAATTCTGTAGAGTTCTAATTCAGGACATCAGAAATAGTCCATTCCTTGGTAGCAGAAACTCTCCCAAAAGCTGGGGGTCCAAGCAATGAATGTCTTAATAATTGTAAAAGTCATTATTGATTCTGTTTAGGAGTCAATTATGGACTGTAACAAATAGGTTTATTTAACTCACTCACTGAGTCTCTATTTCTGTATAAGAGGCGATACTCTGGCTCCAACCTTGGAACAGGCAAGAGGTTTGGATGCAAATTCCTCAGCTAGTTTGAAGTTGTGAGAGTGACTATAAATATATCTTAGCAAATGTTCAAATCTTAAGTTCAACATCTGATTGATTTATATTATTAAAAATACATAATTATAGACTACAAAAGGGAGAATAATCTTTTTAAAATTTTTAATACATTCTTTTGTGGGGGGAGGTCATTAGATCTATTTATTTATTATTAGTTTTTTTTTTTTAATGGAGGTACTGGGGATTGAACCCAGGACCTCGTGCATGCTAAGCATGAGCTCCACCATTTGAGCTATACCCTCTCCCCAAGAATAATCTTCTAATAGTAGTCTTACCACTTCTTGAACTAAGCTGATCAGTTCCATGAGACGTCGACGAAGTTTGGCTACCTCTTCATTCACTTTAGTAACATGCTGTTCATAAATTTCCGCCAAAGGTTTAAAGGTATGTCCACCATGCTATTTAAATTAATAAGTAGTTTTAGAACATTTTCAAATACCTCATTTACATTCCTTTCTTAACACTCTATGGATATTAATCAACTGACAAATAATTTCAATTTTTTATCTCTTGGCTGCTTTTACTTTGTTAAAACAGGCCAGAGCGTGCTTAAAAATCACTTGGCCCATGTAGAAAATCCTTCAAGATTTTAGATAATGGACTTAGCAAAATGTTTACAGTTATCTAGAAATCTTCACTCATTAGAAAGAACCAAAATTCTTAACCATGGCCCAAACCATCTGACACAACCTTATTTGTCACTTTTCTCCTGGTCAGCACTAGCCTTCTTTCACGTCCTCAAACTTTTTCCCACCAGGCCTTTGCAAAAGCAACACCTTATTCAAAAATAATCCTTTCATCCACCCTCTCCAAATTCTCCACCCACTGAACTCATACTCATATCTTCAGGCTGACAGGGTCAGGTCCCACGGTTATTCACTCTTATCTTCAATATATACTTATCCTAATATTTATCACAACAGCAATTAAATATAGAACTAGTAGTTTGACATCTGTCTTGTCCATCACTGAACCTGTTTCTAGCACAAACGAACAAATTAGAAAGGTACATGAGAGAAAGACACATGGAACACTATTAGCAAAAGCAATGTAGTACCTGTTCCTCACACCACAAAGAGTTACTGTGGGGAGAGAAGGCCCATACAAATTAATCTCACAAATCCAGTTATATTCAAAGAATAATTTTTGGTAGCTAACAAACTAAAACAAATTTTCTGTCTAATTTTAGTATTGTCATTCACAACTCTTGATTGGTAAACAGAACTTAAATTTCTATTTTAAGAAACCTCCTACAACAGATAAGTCCTTATTAGAATTGTGTTGTTCAACCAAAGCACTCAGCAATGGTCTCTAAGAGAAAAAAAGATCTCGATTTGTGCACGTCCACTTAAAGTATGGAAAAGAATGGTTCCATTGCTTCTTACAAAACTGTTCATTTAAGTACTAAATTGTGAGAACTTACAATTTTTGGGGGGTCAGCATATTAGTGTTCAAATTCTAACAGAAAGCTGTCTGAATTAAGCTCTACTCAAGCAATTTGCTTGCCATTTTCTCCCTAAAACATGCTGACTGATGCCCAAAAAATGAGCAATTCTCATTGTTAACCAGGACCTCTGTATGTCTACCCACTTTTGCTCCCACCATGACTAACTTTCCCAATCAAGAATCTATTATGTTTATTCTCAAATCTATTTATGCTAATTGTACTTACTACTTTAAATATATAACTTAATTATTAATTAAACAATAAAGACAATTGTAAAATAAAAATTGCTTCTAGAAAAACTAAATGTTTTAGACTTTATAAAGGTAGATTACTTAAAAAAACTTTTGAATTAAATTGGAAAAAAGAAAATAAGAGATTAAAAAATAAGTAAGATCTAGATGTCTGCATTCATATTGTTTCATAAATGTCTATTAATATGTTGTTCTGCTTTAAAGAAACCAAAACTGGAAATCATGGCCAGGATATCAGACCAAATGACCAGAGTATCAGATCAAAGAAAAGACCTTGATCCTACAACAGAAGATTTGCAAATAAATATACATTTTACAGGTTTTCAATTAAAATAAAATATTTATGTAAGGGGTGCACATCCAATACCAAAATCTCCCACAAAAGAAGTTTTTCTGGAACAACAAAAAGTACAATACGTTCTGCTACAAAGTAGATGCATTTAATTTTCATTCTCTAAACAGTAGAATATTATTTTCTATTTAAAAACAAACATTTCAGTGCTTTCTAGACTTTAACTAAAAATATTATGATGAATTTGTTCCACTCACCATTCCTCCCCAAAGTGCACACTGATGGCAGATACATTTCTTACAAGTCCAGCAAAATACACTAAGTTTTTCATGGTGATTTTCACATCTGTATGTTATGAAAAAAGTATAGTTATAAATTAAATAAATCAAAGCTGGAACATAGTTACCTCAACAAATTGCTAACTTTGGGCAAACAGGTCAGTCAGTTTTATACTTGGTCTTAGCCAAAAGGCCAAGAAGCGACAGATCAGTTTTAAAAGACCACATCTTAGGAAATATAAAATGTATCCCATGGCTTCTGTGAAGTAAGCTAAAGAATTGCATGTGGGCACAATTTTTTGAGTATTGTTTTCATTAATCTCTAAGGACTTTACAATCACATGAAAAATGCATACTAGTTTCTAAGTAAAGTATAAAAACATCAATTCCAAGCATCCACATAGATGATAAATTCTACCGTACTACTACATTTCAAGCAAATCAGATTATTGTGCCCATACCTAAATGAGCATGTATGCATGCACAAATTTTTTTTCTACATGTGGCCAAAGTTAACAATAACCAAGAAACATGTGATAAGTTGCACAATACCAGATCCTCATCAGAAATGAACTCAATTTTAAGAAGTTTTCCCTTAAACTGAATATCCACATGCAACAGAATAAAGTTGGACATGGTTATTAACTGAACTGTCTGCCCCAAATTCCTATACTGAAGTCCTAATGTAACTATATTTGGAGGTAGGGCCTTTAGAGAGGTAATGAAGGGTAAATGGGATCGCAAGGGTGGAACCCTAACACAACAGGACTGATGTCCTTACAAGAAAAGAAAGACAGCAGGAATGTGCACTCACAGAAACAAGGCCACGTGAAGACACAGCAAGAAAGAGCCACATCCAAGTCAGAGAGGCCTCATCAGAAACCAACCCCAACAATACCTTGACCAGCCTCTGAAACCGTGAGAAACTAAATTTTTGTTGTTTAAGCCGAGTCTGTGGTATTGTTACGGCAGCCCTAGTGGACAAAAATCTTTCACTTATTTCATATTCAAAAATTAACTCAAAATGGGTCAAAGACCTAAACGTTAAGACCTAAAATTGCAAAACTCTTAAAACACAGGGGAAAAGCTCCACGGTATTGGTTTCGGCGATGATTTCTTGGATATGGCACCAAAAGCATACACAAAAGTGAGAAGAGACAAACTGGACTACATCAAAATTAGTAACTTCTGTACATCAAAGGACACAATGAAAAGAATAAAAGGGCAATCTATGGAATGAGAGAAAACAGCTGCAAATCATGTATCTGATAAGGTGTTTATACCAAAAGTAGGAAAGAACTCAAACAAACAAACCCCACCAAAAACAAATAAAAACAATTAAAATATGGGCAACATATAAATAGACATTTCTCCAAATACATACAAATGGTCAACAAGCATATGAAAAGATGCTCAACATCCTAATCATCAAGTAAATGCAAATCAAAACCACAATATTTCCTCATACTGATTTGCATGGCTGTCATCAAAAAAATAGAAAACAGATGTTGTCAAAGGTGTGGAGAAATTGGAAACTTGTACACTGTTGGTGGGAATGTAAAACAATACAGCTACCATGGAAGACAGTATGCAGGTTCCTCAAAATATTAAAAGCAGAATTACCATATAATCCAGCAATACCACTTCTGAGTATAAATCCAAAAAAACTGAAACACAGTTTAGAACAGATGAACACTTATGTTCACAGCAGCATTATTCGCAATAGCCAAGAAGTGGAAGCAATCCAAGTGTCTATCAATGGATGAATGGATAAACAAAATGTGATACATACACATAACGGAATACTAATCAGCCTTAAAAAGGAAGGAAATTCTAACATATGCTAAAACGTGGATGAACCTTAAAGATATGCAAAGTGAAGGAAGACAGTCATAAAAAGACAAATACTGTATGATTTCACTTATGTAAGTACCCAAAATGGTCAAACTTTTAAAAGTGGAAAGTAAAATTTAGGTTGGCAGGGGATGGGAAATGGGAAATTATTATTTAATTGATTGAGAGCTATAGACGAAAAAGTTCTGGAGATTTGTTGTACAACAATGTACACACACTTAACACTACTGAACTGTACACTTGAAAATGGCTAATAAATTTTATGTTATGTTTATTTTACCACAATTAAAATTTTTTTTCTCTTGCCTATAAAGAAAAGCCTTTTCACTGATGAATTACACTGAGCTTAGAGAAAATACCTAAATAGATCTGAATCTTATAGTTCTCATTTGTAAGTAATCTGAATATCAAACAGGAAATTGATCAAAGTATGAAAAAACAGCATATTAGATACTGTCTGAAAGCTAACTCAGCATGACTTCCACATCACCAAATTTAGAATATAGCTTTTACAATGCACGAAATTTATCAGAACAATTAATCAATGGCCTATATGCAGCTTCAGCAAACCCAAGGAGGGGTGCCCATTAGGCATCAAGAGGCAAAGAAGGGAGATCAGTGACTAGCAAATTGCGGCAGTTCCACAATTTACAAGGGCTTTAATAAAAGAAGTCAGTCAAGAGTTAGGAGAGTCTTTCCAAATAGATAACCTACACCATGCCAGAAGAAAATTACCTAAGTGTTCACCTACGAAAATTAGAAGAAACTTTCAATAGTGTCATTAAAATAACACATGGCAAAATCTATGAAACACTTAAACAAAGAAACTGAGAACCTACTTGTCCTTTTCATTTTCTTCATGTTTGGTGAGACTGCAGAGTTGAAGGGTATCAAGCTGCTGTGTTACTTCTTCCGCCCAACGACAGTTTACTAGTTCTCGTAGCTGGAGGGGAGCACTGGAGAGAAAATGTATGTATGTATTCTCTCGTTCAGGAATTTGAAATCATTTTCTAAAACACATCTCAAAGGTAAATACTGAGGTTATGGATGTGTTAATTGACTCAATGGCGAGGGGATCCCTTCAAAGTGTATATATATATTAAATGAGTACTTTGTACACTTTAAATCTCTTTCAATTATGCGTCAATAAAGCTGGGAAAAAATTATGAAGAAAAAATAAACACATTACTCACAACAGAGCTCACAATCATATTCATACCATATTACTACCAAAATGGTAACAGACACAATGAAAAGTATGATTTATAACTTATTTTTACATTAATGTATCATCTACAAAAAAAACTGAATAAAAAAAATTAGCAATTCAGATTACAGATAAAATTCTCAATTCCTTAGTCTAAAGCTATACTGTCCAAAACAATAGCCACTAGCCACAAGTGACCATTTAAAATAAAATACAAATTAATTTAAAAAAAATGTTATTACATAGTCACCCTAGACGTACTTCAACTGCTCAGCTGCCACATTGGACAGCAAAGCTACAGAACGTTTCCATCACTACGGAAAGCCGTATTTGATAGAGCTGGTCTGGTCTTCTTAACAGTTAATATGAAAAATGTGAACAATACATGAAGAAAAATGGCAAAAGATATGAAAAGGTAGTTTAAGAAAAAAGAAATTACAAATGGCTAAAAATGTTTCAAAAGATATTCAATTTCAATCATTTTTTAAAAGGCATATCAAAAGTGAGATATAATCTTTCACTTAGGAGATTGACAAAAAATGACCAGTAATAACCAGTTGGCAAGAATGTGTGAGGGAAAGGCATTTTCAGTATCTATCATTAGGAACATAAAATGGTAAAAATGTAACCAAGCAGGACCCTATGAGGCCTTCCTGGGACAGATACCTCTCCCACATCCTCTGTGTAGCTTCTTTCTGAAGTATCTAGAGAATGGTATCTGATGCACACTTCCTGAGTTGTTGTACAAATGCTGCTAAAACCACCACCAAATGGAAGAAATTAACTACTTGATGATCATGAGCCCCCAGATCGACAGGCGCCTAACCACCCTGTTACCTCCACTTCAACCAATCAGAGAATTGTGCACAAGCTAATCACTTACCCTGCGAACCTCCTCCCTCACCTGGGTTTTAAAAATAGTTTCCTAAAATAAAACCCTTTGGGGAGTTTAGGGTATTTTGAGAATAAGCCACTCATTCTGCCTGCTCAGCCTTGCAATATACTTTTCTACGCTCCAAACTCTGATGTTTTGGTTAGTTTGGCCTCACTGTGTGTCGGGCACGGGAACTTGTGTTCAGTAACAAAAACCTTTTCTTCAATGCAATCTGGCATCATTATTTGAAATAACCAAAAATGGAAACAACCTAAGTGTCTCTCAATATAAATATAAATAATTCAACGTATAGTCTTACAGTGGATTATTATTCACTTATTTTAAATAACATGTATATACTACTATTAAGAAAGGTACCACCTTATTTTACATGGAAAAAATAAGCAAACAGCAAAATAATATTACATTATTTGTGTATTTTAAGACAAAATTTATATGTATACATCTCAGTATACACACAGAAAAATGTCTAGAAGAACAGATACCCAAACCTAAGTTTCTTCTGAAAGTGTTATTTCATGAAAAGATCAGGTGGAAAGTATCAGAATCAGGAAGCCTTTTTATTACTATCCAGATTTTTTTTTAACAGAAACCTTTAAATTTTTTAATTACAAAAGGTAAATTGAGAAGTTACACATTTTCCAAAAGAAGCTAAACAACATAATGTATTCTACATAGTTCTAAGTCAGATAGATTATTCTGTATTTCTTTATATAGCTAGACTGCTCATTTTCTTTTTAACTGTATTTCACAAAGAGGAGAAATGTGGCACACTGCAGATAGAACTTTGAGTATTAGGGCACATTCTGACCCCATCACCTTACTATTTTCCAAATTCACAAGTAATCATAGCAAAACACTTACCGGCAATGAGGACACTGAGCTCTCTGCTCTGTCAGCCAGCGCTAAGGAGACAAAAAAATTAGATTCTGATTGTAGAAACACCATTACTTTAATTTGTACATATCAAATACTTACATACAAAATTTAATGAGTTTAACTCTCTAGTGCCTGCATTAATTATAGAGATACTTATAGAAATAGCAGGCAATCTGTCTCCTCATTACCATGACAAGGATAAACTTTCAAAGGGACAGAACTCATTCTAAAATAATTATTAAAATGCTGTTCTCTCACAGGAAAGAAAGTGATTCTAGGACTATCTGGATCTCACAAGGAAGATGTGGATAATCTCCACAAAGATAATAATGATACTGTTACCACCATCCCCCAAAATAAACCACTGTGATCTTTTACTTCTAACTAACCCCCAATAAAATCTCCAAGGAATTTTAAGGTACTACTAAATTCCTTTTTGAAAAGCAAACTAATTTTAAAGAATATACATCATGGATATATAAATTATGCCTAAAAACACGAATAACCAATACAGCAAAATTTTGTCTTAAAAGAGTTCTATGGTTCAGTAATTTAAACATCTACATAAACTTGGTTTCCTCATAATTATAAAAAGGTTTTACAAGAGAATAATATCTCCACTAAATCTTAGATTTTACTAAACCTTAGATTCTATCAATGTAACCATTTTAGTTATTACTGGGTATGGAGCAGTTTTAGACCATATACAATGGAGATGCTATGATTTTCTGAATATCTTTCCAAAAAAAGAAGCTCCATGGCTAAATATTTTGTTTTAATTGTAAATAGCTTCTTACATAAATAAGTATATTTATGTAAATAAATATACTACTCCCCAGGAAACCTTAAAGAACATTAAAAGACCAAACAGGGAAAAATGTACTTCATAGCACAGAAAATAAACCTGGAAGAAAAAGAAAATAGATGGAAAAGGATTCCATTCTTAATAACCTTGAACATTATTCCTGAGCAAAGCAAGATATAGGTCAGGTTTCTTTCCCTCAAACAATGCTCTGCTAAAGTCAGAGCACTCCTCCAGGACTGGTTCTCTCCAGTTTCATCTATCTCACCCTAGGGGATCCAGCAAGATTAAGCCTTTAAATATGTTTCCCCTCTCTGCAGAGGATATTCTTCAACACTTCCCTTCAACTAGATTATCATGGCTTATTCGTTAGATTTCAAATTATATGTCACTTCCTCCAGAAAGCTCTCCCTGCCTGCAGACTATTTTAAATATCACTACCATGCTCTACCACAGCAACCTATACTTCTCCTTTCATTGTACCTGTAACATTTAATTACACTGACTTATTGGTTGGTCTCTCCTGCCCCGCTAGACTACAAGTTCTAGACAGGTTGAGACTATGAGAGGGAATGATCAATCCATATTTTTAAATATGCCCCACCCTTCCAGTAAAAACAGGCTTATTGCCGCATATATACCACTCCTGGCATCGTATTTGTGTACCTGCTTATACCGTCCCTCCCTCCATGTGCTGTCCCATTGACACATCTATAAAACTTTCCTGCCTATCCCAGATTAGTGATCTCTCCTTTCCCTTCTCTTAATATTTGTGGCATTTTTAACTTGTGTTCTATAATCTAATTTAATCACAAAACAAATATGGCAATTTTAATACTATGGGGAAAAACAATTTTTCTACCAAACCAAAACCAAAGGTAAGAACAAGTGATACAATATTAAAGAGACACTTTTACAGCAATTCTCCCACATTTAATTTAAGAATAATTTCTTGGGGTAGTGGGTATAGCTCAGTGGTAGAGCACATGTTTGGTGTGCACGAGGTCCAGTTCAATCCCCAGTGCTTCTCTGCAGGGGGTGGAGGGGAGAAGAATTTCTCTCTTTCATTAAAATGGGATAATCACAAGCTTGAGACATTATTCAAACCTGAGTCTGAGCTTGGAAGCTCTGGCACTTACTATGTGACACCAGACACCTGACCAAGCATAAGCTTCCTCATATGCAACAAGAGAATCAACATTCCTACTTTGCAAAACTGTTCAAGGGAAATCCTCAACGAAAACCTAGCAAACCAAATTCAATGCTATATTATAAAGATTACACATCATGACCACATGGGATTAATTCCTGGGATGCAGACAGTTTAACTTGCAAAAATCATTCAGTAAAATACATCATATTAAGAAAATAAAAGAAAAAACCCACATGATCATCTCAGTGGATAACAGAAAAGGTATCTGACAAAATGTAATATCCTTTCACTTGAGATAAAAACACTTAAGAAACAGGAACAGAAGGAAACTTTCTCAACTTGAAAAAGTTCATATATAAAAAACCCACACTGAACACCACACTTAATGGTGAAAGACTGAAAACTTCTCACAAAGTTAGAGGACTCACATTTCCTGATTTCAAAATTTACTACAAAGCTACAGTAAATCAAAATAGTTTGGTGTTGGCATAAGGACAGTGAAATAGAATACAGAGCCCAGAAATAAACAGAAAAGGACAAATATTTTATGATTTAATTTTTATGAGGTACTTAAACTAGTCAAATCCATAAAGAAGGAATAGTGATTTCCTAGGGTTCAGAGAGACAGTAATGGATAAAAGTCATGAAAGTATACCCTTGCCTTTTCCTGATCTTAAGGGAAAAGATGAGGTACTACTATATACTTATGAAAACGGCTAAAATTCAAGACTGAACATACCAAGAGTTGGCATTAAAGTGGAAGAATTGGAACCCTCATTTGCTGCTGGTGAGAAACTAAATGATACAACTATTTTTGAAAACAGTTTGACAATTTGTTAAATAGTTAAACATACACCTATCACGTGATCTAGTCATTCCATTCCTATCTACTCAAGAGAAAAGAAAGCATAAGTCCATTCAAAGACCTGCATACAAACGTTCATAGCAGTTTTCCGTGTACATGCCAAAAACTAGAAGCAACCCATATGTCCACCAACGGGCTAATGAATAAACAAATTATGGCATATACCTACAGTGAGATACTACTACTCAGCCATAAAAAGGAGTATTATTGATACACACAATACTGATGCATCTCAAAATAATTTTGCTGGCTAAAAAAAGCCAGATCAGTAAAAGTACATATTGTAAGATTCCATTTATATAAAATTCTAGAAAACGCAAATTTATCTACAGTGATAGAACGCAGATCACTGGCTGCCTGGGAACAAGACAAGTAGAGGGAGGGATTACCAGAAGAGGCACAAGGAAACTTTGAGAGATTACAGATGTGCTTATTACCTTGGCTGTAGGGATGATTTTTCAATCTGTCAAAACTTATCAAATGGCATACTTTAAATATGTGCAGTTTACTGTATGTCAAGTATACCTAATTTTAATAGCCTGCAAAATTTAAAACAAAACAAAGTCAATAATTACAGGCAAACATAAATTGTTACCAATGCTCAAAATAAAGCAAGCATCAAAAAAAAAAACAAAAAACCACCAAAAAACAAAAAACTGGACGGAAAAGATGTGAGCCAAAAAAAGGGGGAGAAAATACAAACTAGGAACTGGTAATGAGAGAAAATGAAATGAATGTAGCTAGACAAATGAAGTCCTGGCCTGAAAACACAGCCAATGCCACTGCCTTTCGGTATGTGTGTGGAGGCACCAGAGTCATGGGTAGACTGACAGCCTGGGAGTGAGCTCAGTCCTCGTCTGTCACCACAATTAGGTGACTTAGGGCAAGTCTATTCACGGGTCTGGACCTTAAGTTTGTTAAAATGACACAAATATTTGGACTTTCAAAGATGGTTCAATTTCTGTGGACAAATGAACAGAGATAGAATGGAAGAGAAGGAAAAGCATTCAAATAAACAATGCTACAATTTGGCTGGGTGGCGCGCTCAGCTTCTCAAGGACTTTGCTCCTGCAGTTATTCCTCGTCTATTCAGCATTATTAGCTATTCTCTCTCTGCTGGTTCAGTCCCAGCAGGATAAATCTCCTTAAAAGATGACTCTCAACATCCTGTCAACCCACTGCCTTATTTCTCCCCTTTACCACAAGATTCTGTGACAGTGTTTATACTTGCTATCTCATTCTCCTCCCACTCTCTGACATTAAGTTTTTGCTCCCAGTGCAGTCCACTGAAACTATTTATCAGGGTCACCAATAATCTATATATTCTCAAATCCAATGGTCAGTTTCCAGGCTAGAACCTATGACACAACTAAACTACTCCTTTTTGAAACATGTTTTTCAACTGAATCCTGTGACACTTCATTCATGGCTCCTTCTTGTTATCTTCTGCTGAATCTTCCTCCTCCTAACATCTAAATGTTGAGTGACTGAGTTCATATCTAAAAATCTCTTCCCTTAGGAGGTAATCTGGTGATCTCATTCAGTCCCTGGCTTTAATTACTATCCATATCCTAATAATTCAGTCTAACATCCCCTTCCTCAAAGCCAGATTCATATTTCCAACTGCCAACATCTCCAATTAGGTACATAATAAACATCTCAAACTTGCCATGTTAAAAAAAAAAAACATATATCTATAGCCTACCCAAATCTGCTCTACCCCAAGTTTTTTCTACTTCAGAATGGAAAACTATTCGTTCATCCAGATGGTATAAAAAAAATTTCATCTCATCTGTATGAAAATCCATTGGTTCTACTTTCAAAACATACCCAGAATTGCCCTATCTTTTTACTACCTCCACTGCTACCATTCTGATCTAAACCACCATTCATTTTTCACAAATAAGGCACATCCTAACTGTTCTCTTCACTCTCTCCTACCTGCCTACAGTCCACTTTCCACACAGTAGCCAGAGTGATAGCTTTCAAAACATTAATTTCTTCAAATCACTCAAAAGCTTTCAATGGCTATCAGCACACTTAAAATAAAATCCAAGGTCTTTACCAAGGCCCCTAGCTACATCTTCAAACTCATTTCCTTTCCCTCTTTCCCTCTGTTCACTCAACTGCAACTATACTAACTTCTTTGCTATTTCTCAACACACTAAACACATTTCTTTCTCAGGGCCTCCTTTGCCCCTTCTGATTCCTCTGCCTGCAACTTTCCTTCCCTAGACATTCCCATCACTCCTACATTTCATCTTGGTCTCTGCTCAAAAGTCATCTCTTCATTGAGACCTTCCCAGATTACCCTATCTAAAATAGCTACCAACCTGCCTGTGTCCTCCTCAAAGTTCCCACTCTATACCCTTGATCAGTTTCATTTATTCTATGAAGAATATCTAACAGATAGCTGTCTACTTTTTTGTCTATATCCCAACTAGTAAATAAGTCAATTCCTAAAGAAGTCAATGCCTAACTCCACGTAGGTGTACGATTAATGTTTGTTGGCTGAATGAACAAACAAATAAACGGTGCATTCAGGAACCAAGACAATTCTAAAAAGAAAGGTCAGAACCATATTATCCAGATGGTCTGAATATAAGCCTAACATTCTTGGACTTTATCCTTCAGGCAATAACTCTGAGGCTTCTAGAAGAGAAAATAAAATGACATTACTGGAAAACATCAATATGGTAGCAAGATATAAAATAGACTAGAGATAAGAAAAAACTCAAGACAGAGAGATCAGGTATATGGTAACTATGATTACCTAGGCATGAGGTAATAAATTCTGTATTTCTCTATTAGAAAGGTAATAATAGGAATGAAAAAGTAGGACAGATATAACTGACACTAGGAGATAACTGACAAGACTTAAAAATGACTGGCGTCAGAGGTTTCAGGTTTGAGTGACTGGTGGAAAAGAGCAAAAAAAGAAGTCAAAAAGAGTCAAGTTGAGAAAAATAATAGGAAGAATTTGATCTGGAACAAAGTTCGAGATGCTGGAAGGATAATCAGATAAGACATTTATAGGTCAATGTTGAATGAATAGATTTAGGAGACAGACAGAGATGATAGCTAAACCTGTAGGAGTAAACCAAATTTCTCAAAGTAAATGAAAATTTCCCAGAAACTTCATAATAGAGAATGCCAGCAGCAGTATTTCAGAAATAAATGCTTTCAAAGAACAGGAGGAGGAAGAAGTAACAGTGAGGAAATGAAGAATCAATGAGGTATAAGGTAATAACCAGGTCATATATGTATACCAGACCTTCATCAAAAGAGCTGAGTCCAGATCCACTCTACCAATTAACTACTGTGATGGAGGTCAATCACTTAATTTCTCTAGCTTCGGCTTCACCGTTTATAAAATATAAATAATGGTGTGTGTATTCGTTGCTGTTTTTACAATACAGTAATACCTTACAAGTGGAGAGCACATTTTACTTTCTAAATTATTTTTCAGCTTATTTCATTTAATGCCTCAGCCATCCTATGAGACAGACCTTGTTATCCACATTCTGTAACTGAGAAAACAATGCTAAGAAGGAAGGATCAAGTCTCTCCGTTGATGAGTGGGGAGAACCAGCATGGCATGTAACTTAGGTCTTCTGCACGAGGTGAAGTGCCGAAGAACACAGCCTCTAGAGACAGACCGCTAGGTTCAGATCCAGCTCCATCACTTACTAACTGCGCGACTGGAAGCAAATGATTTAAATATTACAGTTATTACTCTTGACAAAGGGAGATTTACCTTCCTCAGGCAGGAATAAGGAACTACAGAGAAATTCTGAGGTGACAAGCATGTTAGATGACTGACCTTCTCAGTAAAGGAATAATCTACCAAGAGTAATGTGGGCAGGGGCAGCTTTCAACTGTGGCCTGCAGGTGTGCTGCTGAAGCCCCACACACAACCAAAGTAAGTTCTTCTGCTTCACATCTTACACTTTTTCATAGTTTTGTTTGTGGGGTTCACCTACATTCAACTTTTAAAGCCACTGGATTCTATTCATCTTTAAGGTCTCTTTTATCTGTAAGATTAAACAATTTTATTTTTTGTCTTTGAACCCATTACTAGCTTTTTCTCTAGCTCACCCATCAAACAAGTATAAACCCTCCCTCCTGAGTCTCACAGCACTTTATGAGTGCCTCTTTATGACACTATCCATTCTTCAATATAAACACAAAGTCCATTCTCTCAATTAGATTTAAGCTCCTGCAGAGCAAGGATTTTCATCATTTATCTTAGTATTCCTCAACCCCAAACAAAATGCAGGCAAGCCCTTTACAAGTACTTGTTACATGTGCAGTTGATTTAATAATATAAACATACTACAACTACACTGGGCTTTGGTTTCCAGACATTTCATGGCAATTATCACTTGATCATCATTCCTCTCTATAATATTAAGCAGTGTATGGGCTCCCTATTTGGAACATTCATTTAAGACATTTTTTAAAGGGGCATAAAATGTAAAATAAGAAAAAGATAAAGAAAATGGTTAATTCTTACGATATATTTCTATATATACTAAGTGCATGTAAAAAGAAATACAACTTACCCTGATGCAGCTAAAACAACAAAGCTTGGAGCAATGAGGACACAGGCGTGCATCCCGCAATTTCTCCATACAAATGAAACATCTGAAAACCTCAGCAATGCTCTGAAAATAAAAGATGTAGGGTTCACCAGATTAGGCTATTGAATCAAGAATAAAAAGTGTACTTGAAAATAATTCACTAGACATTTACACTTAATTTGAGCTGATAATATCTCAGTTTTAACTACATTCCATATCCTGACTTGGTTAGTCAAGGTCCAGGGTACCTCAGAACATCTCCTAGGGAAAAAATGCTTCCTTTTTTCTAAGCTTCACAATGGTTCTATTCTAAGGAAAGAATATGAAATGCAAACACAGACTTAAGCACATTTTCACTGAAGCATTAATTATAATGGCAAGAATCTGGCTATAGCCCAAATGTTGAAATATTAAATGATGGCAGTTACCATAGATTATGAGAGTCACTAGAAATATTTTTGAATTATTTAATGATCAAGAAAATCCTTATAATGTACAATAGTAAGGGGAAAAAAGGCAAACTATATGACTGAATGAACAATACGAACTTTTAACTTTTTCTGCAATTTCCCCAAGGGAGATGGACTGCTTTTATAATTTTTTTAATTTTAAAAAGATACATTAATGGCAGCGTACCCTGGTCAAGAGAGAAACTATGTGATTCAGAATCCACAAAGTGGAATTTCTGCCATGATGCTGCAACCTACTAGCTACTTATTTGAGCCTGAAACTTTGCCCCTTTTGAGAATTTTGGTTGTAGCTCCATGAAGGCTTCAGGAAAAAAACAAAATTACGCAAATAGAAAAAACAATATTATCTTTGCTAACCTCAGATAAGTCAATTTAGGGAGTATTTGACAAGAAAACAATTATAATAAAATGTAGGTTATTACACATTTCAAATTTATTTTTACAGTACTCACATTTATTTTTACTCCATTCCGGGGGAATTGAACTCTCCTAAAAGCAAGGTAAGGTTACAAAACCTTTATAATACTTTCACATGAGGAATTAAGGAGAAAATTACTCATGAGTCTAATCATGACTCTGCAGGACCAGAAAGAACCTGTGAGATGCAGATGCTGGGGGGTGGACAATAAGACCATTGGAAGAACTAGCTTCAAGTGGAGTCGTCCCTTACTAAGAAGCAAGGATTTAGTATTTTACTAATTGGAAGGCTCAAAATTTGATAACCATTATATAATTATGCACAATAAGCAATCTTTTTTTTATGTTCCTAGCCTTAACGTAAATATCTCAAATGGTTGATATCACAGTTTACAAGAGTCAAGTGTAAAAAGAATAGGTTGATTCGGAAAACCACAGAGTATATCCTCACTTAGTCTAGTAAGGGCAGATGTCTACAAAATGCACCACTGAGAGGGAATGACTATTCATTCGGAGGGAGATTTGGATCCTCGCTTGAACTCGTTAAGAATTGGTAAGGAGTCGCAGGGCACGTCCATCTAATGAATTTGCAGTTTTGCTCTGAACAGGCTATAGTTTGCAAACACCCTGTGGGGAGGAGTACCGGTGCAAAGACATCCTGAAATCGTCAGGATACGCACCACTCGAAAGTGGCAACGGTCAGAGCGCAGGGCACCCAGAGGGCTGCAGAATGAGCACAGCGTCCTCCGCACTGGGCCAGCGCTTTCCTCAGCTGCAGCGGTGGGGTGGGGGTGCCCTAAGAGAAAGTGGACCAGGGCAAGGCGCCCCGAATAGAGAACGCTCAGCGGGTGGCGAGAGAGACTAACCACCACCCTCCTCAACCCCCCTCACCTCCACGCTCTGTTCATCCATTGCCTCCGGCTCTCGGCGGGGGCCTCGACGACCCGCGGAGCCCGTGGTCTGACCTATTAGGCGCCGGCCCGAGGTCGCCAGGTCAAATCGCCGAGAACAGCCAGGCGCTCACGTCAGGGGCCTCCGACGACCGCCCCACCTGCGCGCCCCATCGCTTCAGGTTCGGCGCCAGCTACCCCCACTTCGCCATTTTTATCCGCGCGCCCGCCCTAGGGCGCAGTGGGAGAGTGAGCGGTAGCCGCAGCTTCTTTCCTCCCGGCTCACTGGCCCGCCAGCGACCGCGAGGGAGCCTCGGCCCACGTGATGCGGGCGCGCGCGTAAGGAACCGCTGCTGGAGCCCGGCGGCGCTGGTCTCAGCTAAGAAGGTGCTTCAGGGAATTCGCCAGCACCAACGGTAACCAGGGCAGCGGAAGGCGCGGTCTGAGGAGAGGCGCGGCGCGCGTGCACGCATGCGCGCATGCCGCTGCGCTAAGGGAGGGGACCAGAGAGGCGGCGCCTAGTTCCCGCGGTGCGGAGGCGCACACGAGATTTGGCGGCTCGCTGCCGCAGGGTTGCGTGCGGTCGGCCCCGGCCAACGCGTGCTTCGCTGCGCCCCGCCCCCCTCAGGGGAGGGGCGGCGCTCCACCCGTCTCAAACGTTTGCGCGCCAAACCCTGGAGCCACCTGGAGTGTTTGTGGAAAGTACGGTCTCTGGAGCCACACCCCTAGGTATTCGGCCTCCGCGGTTTTGGGTGGGACTCCACGAAATCAGTGTTTTAATCACAACTACTCTCTGTGATTTGGCTGCAGGTGGCCTGAGGCCCGCGCCCATGAGAAACCTTAGTGCAGAGGATTGGTGGCTAGTGGTTCTTTCTCGGAAAGCAAGCCCAGATTCTGGGAGTTTTAAGACTTCCGCCGCACCTACTGAAGCAAAGCTCCAGATTGTGAAGCCTCGAGCGGTAGTTTCATTTTGGGGTTGGGAGGATCGGACCACGGACGGTGTGTAGAACTCGGACCCACACCAAACCACATTGGCCCTGCCATTTCTTGCCGCTTGAGTGAACTGTCGCTGTATTCAGCTTTCCTATATTGGCGTCTGCTTTCTACAATTTTCTAGCATAAGAAATGTTTAAAGAGTGCAGGAACTGAAGGTGTGAGACCAAGGACATACATCAGATTCTTAGTTTGAATTTAATTTTTCCTTTCCAGTTTGTTGCAAACAGCTGTTACATTTAACCCAATCTTGAATGCACATGAACAGAATCAAGAATAATGTAGGAAGAACTTCTTGAATATCAAAGCATTGGGACTTTCTTACAAGGTAGTGAGCAGTAACAATTTTTTTAACTACATAAGCCATGGACAAATGTCATTTTGGAAGATTAGTCTGTACCTGAAAAATTCTTGCACGAAAATTTATGGTCTTGGAACTACATAGAGATGGTGGTTGCACAACACCTTTTATACTAAAATTTTAATAAAGGTTAATGGTTAATTTTATGATACGTTGATTTTACCTCAATTAAAAAATTATTTGTGGAACACCTGGGTGCAAAGAGTAACATAACAAGAAGTGGTCTTTGCAACCCAGCATAGTAGAAAACAAGACAAATTAGTGTGTGATAAATATTAAAAATAGGTTCTTATACTAATAGATATATTTGATCAAGGACCTCAAAATGTCTAAAGACTTGTTGAAATAGTTCATAATAGTGGAAAATTAGAAAACATGTACAAGTTACCAGTGTTAAACTGGTTGTGCTTTCAGTCCGGAGAAAACCTAGTTCGGGGTCATTGCTTGCAAGCACAAAGTCAAATTCTGGCTAACTTAAGCAAAAAGGAATTTAGTTGGCAGGATATTAAGCTAACCTGTGTGGTTAAGAAAACTGTGATCTGCTCCATCAGAATTCCTTAAGGAAAGGCTGAGCTTGCTGCCCTTCCCCTAATCCCACCCCCAAAAATGTCTCCTGACTTGTGTGTTACACAGCTTAAATGCTATCAGTGAGGAACTGGTAAAAATTATAGTAAATTTATATATACAGCTGTTCAAAAGATTGGCAGAGGTGTGATATGAAGCTACCCAAATATATTTAAAATGAAAAAAAGAATTACCTCCCTTCAAAAAAGAAATTAAAAAAAAATTTTTAGTGAAAAAAAGAAAAACCGAACTGTAGCTATAGTACAATTATGGTATCAGCCTATTTTTATTTTTTTTTAATTTTTTTTAACTTGCATGTAAAACATCTGAAAAAACTGCAGATTGCTCTGGAGAATAGGCATACTTTTATTTTTTAATTTCTTAAAGTTGTACTAGAATACAACCTAATTAAAATTAATTTTTGTGACTTACAACTTAAGACAAAAACACTATCGTCAAAGGAAAGTTATCAAGATGAGAAAAGTCTAAATTTGCTAGTAAGAGTGACGATAAAGTGAAGATTGGATAGTATGAACATTTCAAAAATAGAATTACAGATTTTATTGATTAACAAGATAAAGAAAGGGGTACAAACTTTTAAATTACAACTAACAGAACAGTGGCCATTAATAAAATAACAAAAATCAGTAGGTATTCTGGAAACATTCAGTTTGGAAGGCAGCTATGCTCACCACTATACCACCAACGCTACACAGCTGGAAACATTCAGTTTTGAATATTCAGGTAGAGATTTCTGTTGGATATGTGGATTAGGTTTAGTGGAATAAGTTATATTTGGGAATCATCTCCCATGAGGCAATATATGAAGCTTGGGAAATAAATGAACACATAAAGAAGTGCATAGAGAACAATTTTAAGGGAGAAGAGGGTAAGAACAAATGTTTAGAAGGTAACTTGTGAAGGAAGTCAGAGGGAAAACAGTACATTCTAGTCTTTTTTTCCAGATTGAAAGCAAAACCACTTTAACACCAGTAACTTGCTATGACCTCTTTGTGATACTACCATTTTTCAACCTTACCAATCAACATCACATCCCAGAGCCACCCCATTACAGGAACTTCCTCAGTATTAACTGCCTGAGTACTGAAGAAAAATAGGTTACTGAGGTGTGACTTATTTCTCTGTAATTTAAAAAAGGGGAACATTCTGTTCTCAAAATATGCAAAATAGGCAGGACAATTTTAACTGAAGCTACTTTCCCAACCCTGCTTGTTAGGTATTATAAGTTTGTTAATAACATAACAAAAAAATTTTTTTTTATTTTATAAAAGTATAGTTCTATAACCTACAGAACTAACATTTTATACAATTTTCCTAGTCTTTTCAATAACTTGTTTTTATTACATATATGGAAATACTGAAGGATTACTAAATATCAAATCCTAACACTTTAAAATCTCATTGTGCTTCCATCCATCCTGACACATACAAGTTAAATGAGTTGCTCAGCATCATACAGCAAGAATTTAAAACCAGCTATTTACATCTGAGGTATGACTTCAAACCCAATCTTAACTACAAAACTATAAAGCTTCCCCTCTCACCCACTTAGCATAGCTTCAGCATTTCCCAGAACATTAACAGTAGTAATTTATTGGCAACTTGACCCCCTACTGGATAGATACACTATGATTTACTTTCCTATTTACTTCCCATTAGTTTTTTTTCCCTAACAAATATGGAAATTCACACACACAAAACTGGCAAGTAGCAGTTGCCAGTGATCCTCTCATTTCAGTTTCTTACCTTTCACATAGAATAAACAATTACAGTAATGTAGATGCGAAAGAAGAACAAAGGTAGTATTGAAATACAACACAGACAGTCTAAAACAGCATTTGAAAGCAGCACTCATGCTGCCAAACATTAGCAAGCAGAAGGAACAGGACAAAAAGAAACACAAGTGAGGCTGTCACAGAAAAGCCAGCTTCTTACCAAAGTTAGGTTTTGTGGGAGATGGTAAGTCACATATTAGCAGCCTCACTGATAATGTGACCACATCTGTAATCAAAATTTTCAATAATAAAATTATATACGTATATAATGTATAATATAATACAAATATGTGTCTATCCTTTAATTTCCAAAGCATGCTCATTTACACTTGACTGACTGACAGTACCTACTCTTTTACAATAGGCCAGGACATCTGTGTAATCCCGATTCTACAAAAACAGGTACAAAATAGTGTTGAGAGTTCCTTGCCTGAAACTACAGGACTAAGCGTATGTGCATATATTTTTAAGTCCTTTATTTCCATTCCGTCCTTTTGAGTGAACTTTATTAATATAATGTCTGTCCTTCTTGTATTCCCTTATCTTGTGAAAGGCATCACTATCCAGTCACCCAAGTCAAATCACCTTTGCCATCCCCCCACCACTAGTCATCAAGTGCTAACAAGTCATCTTCCTAAATGTCTCTGGAATTGACCGCTTCTCCATCAGAGTCCCCTTTTACAAGTCCATTTCTTCATAAGCCTGGCATGTAAGCTTTTAATTGCTCTGCCGCAGTTTTCTCTTCTTCAGTCAATGGTAACAGCTAGAAAAAAAATGACAAAATCTTTATTTCAAAAACCTCTAAAGATTGTTAAATTAATTTAGTTAACTTCTGCTTTGTCATACAAATAAATGTTTACATAAGCTTATACTATGTATGTAATCACAAATTGAGGAAAGTAAGGAAAATACATATTGGCTATCTATATCCAAGGTTGTTTGGTGTTTGAGCTTCCAAAGAATTTACAATTAAATCGAAAAAACAAGACTAAGAAATCAAACAATTTAAAGATTGTAATCTAAAAGAACCACGGAAGTCACATTTGAACACCATATTCTAAAAGCATTTTTTTGTTTGTTTGGGGTGGGTAATTAGATTTATTTATTTAGTGGAAGTACTGGGGATTGAACCCAGGACCTTGTGCACATTAAGCCACTGAGCTATACACTCTTAAAAGCATTATGAAAAATAAGTGTGAACAAAAATCTTATCGATACACAGAGTTTTCTCATCCCAGGGTTATGTCAGCAATGAGTAAACGCTTTCTAATTTCATACTTCCAGACTTTCCCCTCTCACATGTTATTTGGGTTACAAACCCATTCCTAAACCAATGTTAAAGGAAAATCCATTTCCTTTGCCAAACAGGCACACCCCTGAAGCTGAGGATAGCACCAACTTTACCTCAGGCATGAGGCTGTGAGGAATGGCACACATCTCAAGAAAGTCAGTAATCTGTTAGGCAGGAAGGGAGAACAGGTGCTGAGAAAACAACCAGTGATCAGAATCCACAAAAGCACATAAGAGGAAAAGCAAAGGGAAGAAAGAAGACAAAGTTGTAAGGGACTTTCACAGAGCACCAACAAACAAGCTAGCTGAAACAAAGGATTAGTGGGGAAATTATAGGAGGTACAATCTGAAGAATTACTCAAATAGTTACAAATCTGCCTAATTATATAGGTCATCTCTAGAGAAGGTGCCAAGTCTGGAACACCCCAGACCTACAGAACCAGAATCTCTAGGGCATTGCTTTCCCATAGAACTTTCTATGATGCTGGAAATGTTCTGTATCTACGGTGTCCAATTGGTAGAAGAAGGACTGAATTTTTTATTTTACTTCATTACTTCTCATTTAATTTACATAGCCACATGTGGCTACTGGTTCCAGCTGATTTGGATGATCAAGCCAACATTTGTTCAAAATGTTCACGTGGATAAAACGAAAAACAATCGTATGCCTTACTGCAACGCAAATAGTTACAGAACTTCCCTCTTCTATCTCAAAAACAGGAAGTGGTATTATTCTGGCAAGATTCTGTTTTCCATGAATCCATGTTTCTCTTTGTGATCACGGTTTAAGAGGATTTCAGACCATCTGTTTAATAAACCTTCACAGAGTTTTCCCAGGAATTAACTAATCTAAAATATACAGAAATTTTTCTTTTTTAACACCAATGTTTCAGAGCATTGATGGAATACCACACACATTCTATTTTTAATGCCTTTTTAATTTTCTTTTTACTGCTGTGTTTTTGTTTTGGGTATTGTTTTGCTATTTTGTATTTGGAACAAGTTTAGCTCTTTTCTTCCTTTTGATGGTCACCTATATATTTAAGTATATTTAAACCTCAATGTCTTAATATCAACTAAGAAGATCAAGAAATTTATATATTACCCCCTGCCACCTCCTTTCTGTTCTCATCTGTTTATTTTTAATATGAATTCAAATATATTTTCTATATATTTTCAAATGAAAAACCACTTACCTTGATAAAAATTAAAGCAAGATAGTAACTGAACAGTTTAACTTCTGTTGTTTATAGACAAAGCATCATTTGCCCCAAGTAGACATCCCTTCCATGTTCCTCATGTTCCCAAAATAATTTTAAAAGTCCTTTTGGTTATTTTAGAAAATTTTAGAATCCTCAGCTCAATCTAGCCTTTGGCTTTCTTAACTATTCTCACAGTTCTGCCCCTATAACTAGTATACCTCTGTTTATACCTGGAATCCTTTATATGTCCTTTAAACTCTGGGCTCATAGAACTGTTTTTGGTTATACAGCTCTCTTCAGATGCTGTCCTCTTTTCTCCTACATTTCAATCATAACAATTTTCTGTGAACTTTCTACTACTATCTCATTTTTTAACTGATAGGTACAAGATCCACCATATCTAACATTTCCCAACTTGGCTAAAGTTGATTCTAAAATATGATCTCCTTTTTTCAAGGTTTATAACCTACCTTTCAGTCATTTCTCCTTATTTGTCATTATCTGACCCAAAATGAAAAACTCCCTTAGCTTTCTACTTTTTTTTTATAATTATTGCTCATTTCAGATACTTTGTTTTGGTATTTCTCAATTCTATCATTATTTTATTATTAGTTACCTTTTTTCTAAGAGTGGCCAATAGAGCTATTTGACTAAATTAATGGCAAGTAAATATGAATTAAATATTTTATTTTTAAATGGAATTATAATGAACATACATATTATATTAGTTTCAGGTATATAACATAGTAATTCGGTATTTTTAAACATTATGAAATGATCACCACAATAGATCAAATTCCCCTCTGTCACCATACTAAGTTGTTACAATGTTATTGACTATATTCCCTAGCTCATTTCAGAAACTTTTAACTAAATGAAGATCTTCATAGATATTCAGATTATGGAAATCCCCTATCACTATCATAACTATTTTTCTGTACCACTTTGTAATCTCAGAAATATGCCATCTATTTATTGTATCCAATGGAGACAATTTTAGTAAATATTCAAAAAATCTAGTGAACATTCAAAAAATATTCAATTTGTTCACTCACCCAAATTTGTGCTTCAATAAATTTATGGATTTCTCTACACAGTATGTTGATATGTACATCCAGAACTACTCAATCTCTCTTCAAGACTTGTTTCCTTAGAAGAAGTTTATGCTTCTATTGTTAGGCTCTGATCACATATGATGAAGAATATGTGACTTGATTTTATTTATAGAAAGTTATCACATACATACCTTTTTTCGCATTTTATTTACTAGCATGCGACACCACCCTTTGCTTATTACCTACCGTCTCTACCCTCTGTCCCTTTTTTAATTGCACTCCCCTCCTCCAGTGTTCATCTCCCCATGGCAAAACAGATACACTTAAGGTGTCATTTTATAATTTTAACCAGGCATTGTTCTCTTTTCCTCCATTGGCAATATAAAGGATTCTTGATCAAATTGACCTGTGTAATCACCATTTGAGATTTACTCTTGCTACCAGCCAATAATTGAAGTATCTTAAATCATAAGTTAATTCAGACTTTGCAAATACCATGTATGCTGCCCCTAGCGGCATGACCATGTCAGTCAGATAGCCTTTCCATGCCCAGACACAGCTCCTTAAAACAACACTCTAAGCAGCTATTATCAGTCGATGGGGTTAGCACCAGAGATGAAAACCTATTGGCCATCTTTTGTCCAGATAATTAAGTCCTACTCTATTATTCCATCTACATTAGGCTATCTTTTCTTTCAAAAACCCCCAACTTGATCTTAACAGTAAATAAAAATGCTAATAAACCCTTCAATTGACTGATCAAGATCTTAGTGCCTCGGTCAGCAACACATATTCTTTTTTTCTACTCAGACATATCTGAAGGGTTTTACACCTCAGTGATAGAGGGTCACAATTATAAAGATTCTTACACTATATGAGAAGGGGAGGCAGAGTGGAGGAAGAGAATGAACGTCAGGCTTACCCAAGCCCACCAACTCAACTGAAGGAAAAGAGAACTAAAATAAATAAATAAACGTCACTGGGATAGATGCTTTCTAGATTCTCAATCTCACTAGTTCTTACAGGAATTGGCAGAACTGGTAGATTTTAATAAGTATTAGTATGTTTTCTCTTCTGCCATGGCTACAGAATCCAAGACAGCATACCTCTTCATTAACCAAGTCAAGTCCACATGCTTATTTTAAAATAAAAGGAGATAAGAGCTTGAGAGAATCAAGAAAATCTCATTTTGATCAACAGCTCAAACTGACTGTTGAATTTCAAAATGAGAGTTACTGGGGATTTATCTTTCAAGTGACACTCAGAATTAAAACTCTACAACTGCAACAAGTCAAATGAAAGCATTACCTCCAGGTCTGTATGCTTTTGTAGTTCTTGTAGCAAGGCCATAGTCTTATTGAAAGTAGCACAAATGCGGCTCTTAGTCTCTTTCTGCTCGACAGCAATTGGTTTAAAGCGTGCGTGCAAAGTTTGATATCGAGACTTTATTGCTGACAATTCCTTTAACAGTGTAACTGGATTTTTCTATATCAGGAAAAAAAATCAATATATATTAATTCATGGAAAGGAAAAAGTTTCTTCTGAGAATTAATATACAACACATTCCATTGTCCATTTAATAGAACATTGTATTTAATTATGCAATTATGTGACAGAGGATGAGGATGAGAGGAGGGGAAGAAAGAAGTATAAGACCTATATCCTATTCTCAAGGAATTAAAAGCCCAAGTACAGAAATAACCACCCCCGTCCCCGACTCACACTCACAAAATAGCAATATTAAATAGCAAATAAAGTCACATTAGATACATAACATTTGATACATAGTTCACAATAATTAATTATACAATACTTCTAAAATGCAATTCTAAATGTTATTCAGAAGATTAAAGGAACTACTTTGATTTGTTCTTAAAGAATAAGACAACTTGAAACCACTTATAAAATTCTTAAACATACTGTCATGGGGCTTAAGCAATATATACACCAATTCATTTACCTCAATATACAAAATTCATGCCAACTCAAGCAACTATATTTACAAATTACATTCATTTTTCAAATTCATTTTGGAATATAAATAACCACTATTCCATAAAAGACATTTCAACTGGGTCCTTTCTGCCACTTGAAAATTCTTTTCATTCCCTGATGGTTTGTTAGCAAACCCTCCAATACTAATTATTTCAAACTTTCTTCCACTCCCTCTAGTTCCCACCCGCTCCTTCTTGGCACAAGATCTCACCCCAACTACTTTACGAAGGAGACAGAAACCTTCTAGGAATTTCTATTCCTCTGCCTTTTCAACTGAAAATGAAAACATCTATGGACGTTCTGACCCTTACTCAGCCCCTAACACTAACACTATTACTGCTGCTTCCTCCACATATCCTCAAGAACCTTAAATTTCCTATATTTCAATAACCTCATATCTCCCTCTATACAGACCTCAAATATATATAAATCTTCCCTGTATTGAGGGTAAAATTAACTCATCTCTTGATTCTGTTGTCACTTTTTGCACTCCATTTGCCAACAACCTTCTAGATTCTATAATAATATACTTCTTCAGGTGCCAAGTTATTTTAAATCATCAAAAAGTCTGACCTGCCCTATAGCATGTAATTTTGACATGCACCCCTCTTCTTGCCTCTCCTTATTCCCTTCTTGTACTAATCTTCTTAAAATGGACTCTTGATTTCCAGAAAATGATGCTATCTTGGATATGTGCCTACTCTTCAAATATCTCTTTCACGGACCCTAACTCATGGCTGTGGGCAGAGGCTCAGTTCTCTACTCCCCTCTTCCTTGGAGCTTTTTCAATAAGCTTTTGATGATGGAAATGGTAAATAAAGATGATTCTAACAGGATGAATTAGACCCAAAAAAATCTAACCAAGTTAACAACTGCTGAAATAGTTCTCTGGTGATCAAGACCTATGGTACGAGCAGTAGGAGTAGGAAGAGGACAGAAGAGAGACTCCGTGAAAAAAGTTAAGAAAACTTAGTGGTATGTTTGATATGTGCAAAAAAATAAAAGATGACACCAACTGTATAGTCTGGTAGATAGAGGAATAGTGTGTATTAAGATGCCTTTTGTGGTATCTACTCAGTAAGATCCCAATGACACTGAGACCTGTCCCTTCACCCTTCACTTCTTATCACGTTTCTAGATGTTCTAAGAGATCGCCAGTAAAAAAACAAAAAACAAATAAACTGGAAAATGCAGTCCAAAATATCCAAAAAAGTAGGGGGGAAATATACAAAAATGAAAATAGGAAAGAAAAGATAAGAAAAATAGAAAATAGATCCAGGAGGTTCAATATCTCACTAATGGGAAAGGCCATAAAACAGGATTTCTTTTTTTTATAAATATACAGGTGAGAAAATTTATAAGACTTTAGATTCACATGTTTTCAGATTTAAAGAACCCCACCAAGTGACAGCACAATTAATGCAAAGACCTATCCTATAATCATAAAATAACTATAAAATTTCACAGCATAGATAACATATTCTGAAAGTTCCAAGACAGAGTGTGATGCAGGGCTGTGTGTGGTGTTGTTTTTGTTTTGTTTTGTTTTATTTTTTGCGGGGTAGGGGGTGTGTATAAAATAAAGGAAGACACACAAAGGATCAGGAATTAGAATAGAATGGCGTCTATTTCTCAACAAGAACCTTGGAAACTAGAAAACTACAAAGCAATGATAAATTTAAGAGAAAATAATCTCCAATTAAACCATCCATCAGCTAAAGGATTAAATTTAGGGTTAAATAAAGACATTTTCAAACATTTTATGTCTCAAAAAGTTAATATTCTGTGCACTACTGCTCAGGAAGCTTCTAAAGGATCTGTTTTACCCAATCAAGGAAATAAACCAAGAAACAGTAATACAGACTAAAGGGAGTAAAACAAAGAGAATTACCCAAAATATGGTAAAGAAAGCCTAGAAACACAGCTGTGGAGCAAGAGGATAGAGAGCATCAGAAGGGATGTGGAAGACAATGAAACTTATCAATGAAATGTGATATGTCTGACACTGTTGACAAGAGTTTTAGAGCTCTGTTAGAAAAGTCTAAAGCTGAATTAATAACAGATGCATAGAAAAACTAAGCAAATTGAAGGGGAAAAAAGAAAACAATTATTAGCTCCAGAAAAACAAGTTGTATAAGATGGGAAAAGCAAACAGGTATATTATATGAGTTAGATAAAAGCAATATTTGCAGAGTCATAATTGCTATGGTCTGAATGTGTCCCAGCAAAATTCATCTGTTGAAACGTAACCCCCAAGGTGATGGAATTAGGAGGCGGGACCTTTGAGACTTCTTGGGAACCACCGTGTCCTTTTATTAGAGTTTATAAACTGTGCTGCATTTTATTTAATTTTGTGCCTATAACATTTCAATTAATGTTAGGGTTTTATTTATTATAAGTGGGTGATCACTTTTGAGAGCTCTCAAGAATATGCAAAAAGTGCTCTGGTAATGATAGTGCTAGTGATAAGAAAAAAGAAAAGCCAACATGAAAGCAAAAAACTCAACTCAGTTAAGTCTTTTGAAAGAAACAAACCATTAGTTGTGTTACTAAATTTAAAAGAATCTATAGAGAAAACGCTCATGAAATAAAATTATCTTTCTGGAATAAATACAGGTGATAATCATGCTAATCGGAGCCTGTAGTTTATTGTATCTTTATCAAGATTCTATTTTTAAATGTTCACTTTTATGCAGAGTTACTGACAGTCTCCAAATCATGAGGACAGTGCAGCTAAATAAAATTATATGCATGTATGTGGGTGTGAGTTTACACGCACACCCCCCCACTGACACTGGTTGGCGCATAGTAATGTTCAATGAATGTTTACTGCCACTACCACCATGTAGAGGTATTAGAAGTTAGTGCTAATAGATGTTTCCTTTCCTGTTCCTTGATACACATATAATCATTAGGACTAATGTCAGTGAAATCTACAAAGACTAAGTTTATGTTTTCTTCCCAAGTGTAACACACACAAAAAAGGGAGTTACTGGATAAGTAATTACAGGTATTTTAAAAGTTAAAGTTCAAAGGTTGACAAAGAATTATCATATGATCCCGCAAGTCCATTTCTGGGTATTTATACAAAGAATTGAAACGCAAGGACTCCAACAGATCTATGTACACCAAAGTACATAGCAGCATTACTAATAATATCCAAAAGATGGAAACAATTCAAGTGTCTACTGACAGATGAATGGATGAACAAAATGTGGTATACACACACAATGGAATATCATTCAGACTTAAAAAGGAAGGAAATTCTGACACATGCCATGCCATGGATGAACGCTAAGGACATTATGCTAAGTGAAATAACCCAGTCACAAAAGGACAAACATTGTATAAGTCCCCTATATGAGGTATACCTAGAGTAGTCAAGTTCATAGAGATAGAAGGTAGAATGGTAGTTGCCAGGGGTTGGGGAAGAATGGGGAGTTATCATTTACTGGGTGCAGTTTCAATTTGAAAAGACGAAAAAGTTTTGGAGATGGATAGTGGTGATAGACTATGATGTGGAAGTACTTAGTACCACTGAACAGTCCACTTACAAATGCTTACAGTGGTGAACTTTATCTTGTATATTTTATCAAACTTAAACAAAAAATCAGGGGAGGGTATAGCTCAGTGGTAGAGTGTGTGCTTCACAAGGTCCTGGGCTCAATCCTCAGTACCTCCATTAAAAAAAAAACCAAACCCTAAGTATGTAATAAGATGGTACAACCACTTTGGAAAACAATTTGACAGTTCCTCAAAATATTAAATATAGTTACCATGTGGCCAGCAATTCCACTGTTAAGTATATATCCAAGAGAAATGAAAGCAAATACCCACACAAAAACTTGTACATGAATGTATATAGTAATATTATCATAATAGCCAAAAGGAGAAAATAACCACATGGTCTGTTAATTGATGAGTAAATAAGAAAATGTGGTACAGCCATACAATGAAACATTATTCAGCTATAAGAAGGAATGAAGTACTAACTCATGCTGCAAACTGGATGAACCTTTAAAACATGCTAAGTGAAAGAAACCACACATAAAAGGCCACAAATTATATGATACGTTCAGACAGCAAATCTGTAGAGTTTATAGAGCTAGAAAGTAGATTAGAGGTTGGTAGGAGCTGGCCAGGGGTGGGGAAGGAGGTGTTAATGTGAAGTGACAGTTAGTGGGTTTCTTTCTGAGGTGATGCAAATATTCAAGTATTTATTATGGTGATGGCTGCACAACTCTGTGAATACAATGAAGACCACTGAATTGTATACTTAAAAGAGTGAATTTTATGGTATGAGAACTATGGTTAAATAAAGCTGTTTTTAAAAAAAAAGTTGTAACAACAAGGACCTAACCTATAATGGAAAAGAATCTGAAAAAGAATATATGTCGATGTAGATGTATAACTGAATCACTTTGCTGTACACCTGAAATTAACAAACACTGTAAATCAACACTTCAATAAAAATAAATTTAAAAAATTAACTATATATTTAAAAAAAGGTTGTAGAAGAGAAAAATAACTGGAAGTGGAACAAAGACATGAGATGGGAGGTGGAAGAAAAGTGGAAGCCCTGTATGAAATGTCTTCCACATAGTACTTGAAAGATACTGACTCAGATGAGGGATTTGGCCAGTCATTAGATGGTACCACTGGACCAGAATTGGCTGGCTGTTCTTCAGTCACAAAGAAAAGAGGAAAAGACAGTCAAATCAGTTAAGGAGCTAGAACAGTTCAAACTATACTCCCACAGAATCCTGGCATTCCATGAAATAAACAGGAAAAACTGAACATTTACAATGCTTTCCCATTTCATATAAAATGTTACTTTAATTTGCACTTCCACCCAATCTCCCCGAACTGTATAAAATTTTTTGAAAGACACTAAAATATGATATTTCTTGTCTGCTGGCACAATTATTTATGTGGTAAATTAATGTTAACAATGTTTAAAAATTGTTTGCTTTTATCTATAAAGGCATGTGTACATGTAGTTATAATTTTATGGCATGTAAACAGTTAATATTTTAATATTTCTAATCAACCTAAACTTAGAATAACTAAGTATGTAATTTTATGTAAAAATCATAGTTCATATAAGAAATCTAATAGTAAATCATCTTCCTGAGAGAATATCATAACTTCTAAGATTTCTCCCCTCTTAACCACTGCCTTAGAGGTATTTATAGTCTCTCCCAGAATTTCAGAGGCTTCCATAGTGGTTTATGCCTCTGGATTCAATGATTCTTATTTATGGGTTTTAAAAAAAAATGTAACCACAAGTTTCCTTGACTATAGGTATAATCTTTCCAGTGTTCTGTGACTAAGCTTCCAACACAAAAAGATTCTATAAATTTAATAGTTAATAATGTAATTGTCATAATTAACTATTAGAAATACTATCAGTGAGGGAGGGAAATAGCTCAGTGGCAAAGCACATGTTTAGCATTCAAGAGGTCCTAGGTTCAATCCCCAGTACCTCCATTTAAAAAAAAGAAAAGAGTAAGAAAGGAAATACTATCAGAAAATCTTTTATAAAATATTCTCTTAAAAAGACACTTAAATTGGCACAACATTGTAAACTGACTATGAAAAAAAAAGACCAAAAAAAGAGGCATTTTACTTTGCAGATTACCTTGCCTGCTGAATCAGGATGATTAGTCTTGATTTCATATTCCAGCCTGTATTGAATGTAATCCAGATCAGAGTCAGCTTTCTGGAACTAAAGATCAGCACATAGCATTACTTTGTGAACCAAAAGACACATTAATAAATGCTGTAACTGTTCTTTCTTTTCTCTTTATATTTTTTAGTACTTTAATAATGTGACATACACTCATTTTGAAAATATGGAAATAGAAAACTATACAAAACCTCCATCATCCTTAATACCCATGCTCTATTTAGAACAATGGCTTCAAGAATTCCCTTGGGTTTCTGACAGTCATCAGGAGGTGTTTGTCTACCCCTAATAGGAAATGTGATTTCACATTAAAATAGAGAACAGATTTCTTTTCGGGGATAATCACGCTGTTAACATTATCTGCAACCTCTTAACCAAAGAACTACAAATATGTGCCACACAGACCAAAGTTAGAGGGCTTAAAGATTCATAAATTACACAAGAAAAGCTACATACAGTACAGGTGTAGCAGTCTGAGTAAATCCAATTTTTTGAACCTGGGTGCTACCATGGGACCTTGATCTGCAGTAAACTTCTAAGGAAGGAAAAAGGGGAAAACTGCCACACGCCATAAAATATGTGTGTGTACATACAGAAAAGGTGGGGAAGATATATATCTCTGAACGTGAAATAATCTACAAATTATTCTTAATTTTTGGAAATTCTACATCTTTTCCATGATCTTAAAGCACGTACTGTCTTGAATTTATGGTCCTTTGAGTTTACTATGAAAGTGATAAAAGAAATTTTCACATATTGAGGTATGGAGAAGTCATTCTGGCTTATCCATAAGTTAACTTGAATTCTATGCTACTAACTAAAACAGCCTGTTTGTGGTCTCTCAAACATACATTGTACATCTGTATTTTTAATTATTTAAGAATTATTAAAGAAAAGGGCACGCTGACCAGAAGTAAAGAATGGCCATGTTAAAAATAAAGATCAAATGAAATGCCTCTCTTCCAGGCATGTCAATGCTGGTATTCCTTTGATATTAAGACTCCCTTCCCAGGTGCTAAGGCCATTCTGTATGTGTACATGCTCATCTGTTTTGTTTTGTTTTTTTTTGAAACCTTGAAGAAATGTATCCGTCTTGTTTAACGTTCTTTGTTCTGACAAGATACAAAACTGTGCTTGTCCAGAGCAGTTTCTCAGAGTAATCTGGGAAGCGGATTTCTGGGCTAGTGCTCAATATGCCTCAAACAAAACTCTTGTCTATTCTTATTATTGATTGTTTATTGATTATTTTCATCAACAAAGGGCAGAACATGATTTCCTCAGGGATGGTCTCCCATTCCTAGCCCCCAGCTGAGGAAACTGCTTTGGGAAGAAGGTCCAGACCTTTCCATCAAGTTAAGTTCTGGACCAAAGATTGCTTCTTGAAAATTTGAAGCCTTAATGGAAAGAATAAAAACCTACAAAAGTAGTTAAAAGTAGTTCTCAGGTCTAATGAGAAGTGGTGTTATTTTTATTTTACAAAAACTAAACCAAGGGTTCTACTTTGGAATGTAAAGCAAGACAAAATGGCTCTCAGAAGTTAAAATGCTTCTAAGGTCAGAGGCTGTCATTACTGAACAGAATTTCAGAAAGAGATAAAACTAAAGGTTTCATCACTAATAATTTCTCTCATCATTGGCATAAATTTAAATGCAAACTCGGCAATTTAACAAAATTCTCTTAATAACCAAAAACTTTTGGAGTAGAAATAGAAGAGAAGAGAAAGTCAATCTTTGTTTTTAAAAATTTTCCAAGAATCAGTATTTGATTTGCATCTCTAACAGCAAAAAAGTTGCTGTGAGCCAGAAAAACAAATGCAGAAGTTCTTTGTTTAAAATTATGTTTAAAATGTTTTCTACAAATTGGAGGCATTTCATTTGTCTTATATACTTAGGTTAGCTGCCATGATTACTCAATAATTAGACTTCTTTAAACATAATAATTACTATATATGTATATGTGTATATATAAAGAAATTCCTGTTGGCCTCATTTCCCATTATTAGAATATACTCAAGGATTATCTTTTCCTTTATATTAAAAAAGTACACTAACCTATACAGCATGTGGATGGGGAGTATGGGGATGGGTCAGGGGAAAGGGTAAATCAAATTAAGCAAAGGCACTAAGTATTCAAGACCTGATTTGTTTTAATTATTGAAATAGACCACAATTCTGTGACTTTATATATAATTGAAGGCCTTGTATAACATTCTAAAGCATAATTTTAAATAAAAGTTTTTAAAACATATTAAGTTACCACAAAATTATTAGGATTATGGGATTTGTTGCTCCAGGGTTACCTTAAAACAGAATCTCTATTCTAGGAGCCTTTAACTTGCTTATAAAACAGATACTCTTAAGCCTACACATTTTTTAACATGATATTTTGGTTCTGCTTAAATTTAACTAGCATAATCCCACAGTCCATTTAACAATGTCTTCTCTTCAAGAGAGTGGTTTCAGCTATGGTTCCTGTAATACCTGGGGGTCCACAATGTATTAAAATCACCAAATTGTACCAATAAGTGGTTCCTGCTTTTAAGTAATTTACATTTCAATAAGATACTAAAGAGTGTGATTCCAATCAATGGTATGATGGACCTAGCTAAATTTTCAGGAATTTTTGCAAGCCAATTGTTAAACACAGGCACCACTAAAATTAAATCATATAAATTTATAATTAAATTATTAAAAAGAAATATATATACAAAAACCATAACTTCCTAGTTACTTTACTATATTTTACTCTTATCTATGCTCTTGTGGTCTATCATATCTATATAGTAGAAATATATCATATGCTACTATTGCATTTCTTTTCAACTTCATCTTCAGTGACATCATGCTAAGTAGCTTGAAATTATTTAGGGTGGAAATACACCAGGAAAAGTGGCAAATGCTAAAATTCAGGACTCACTTTCTCCCCATAGCTGCATTTATGTGTGTATCACTGCCTTCAAAAGATTTTTTTTTTTAATTCCCATTCAACTTGTAATTACTATGCCCACACTTCTATTTGGAAAATATTTCAGAGAACAAATAGAATTTTAAACAGACTTTAAAAGACAGGGGGTGGGGGAAATAGGGAGTTACTGCTTAATGTATGCAGAGTTTTAGTTTGGAAAGATCAAGTTCTGGGAGATGGACAGTGGCTATGGCTGCACACCAATGTGAGTGTACTTAATACTGCTGAACTGTATACATTTGAAATGGTTAAAATGATACATTTTATGTAATGTAACTGCAATTTTTTAAAAAAATTTAAAAGACATGAAAAACAGCTTGAGAGTAGAATGTCATTCTCCTTGAAGAAGTGAACAGAACATTTTATGATAATACATAGGGAGGAGTATTTACTTATTAGTGAAGTCAGTGGGCTAGGGAATAAGCAGGGGACCAGAAAGGAAAACAGGTGCCTATGCAGTGTTGAGAAACAGAAAAATAATCAAAATTCTCTGATCTGAATCCTTCATTTTATAAATGAAGAAACAGTCTAAGTGACTTTCCTTTAATTCTATTTCATTACTCTGTTTTTAATGTAGTTAGACCAAAGTTATACACGACATTACAGGCAATAAGAGTTACATAGATGGTGGGAAAATGTAAAGACTTTACTTAACATTAAATTTAAATAGTTTTTTTTAATGTTAAACCTACTATCTCTGCAGTTAGTCCATTAAAAAAATTCCCTCTGAATACAACCTGGTAAATATGGTACCAAAAAAAAAAAAGAAAGAAAAGAAGAGGATTAAGATGTGTTGTAAGAGTTGTAGCCCTGGTATCACTAACCAGCTTTGTGGCCTCCATTATCTTTCATTTCTCTGGGTCCCTCCTATTAAACGAGAGAGTTGGAAATCTAAGTCCCTTTCAACACTAAAATTCTGTTATTTCATTATACTACAAATAAACCAAAGTTTAGTTTATCAAAATGTTAAAATTTAGAAAAGTTGTTTCCTCCTTCTAATAAGTTAAAATTTGACATTTGAGTTTCAGATTTTAATATTTATATTGAAAACTAGCTTCTGCTATTTGTTTTCTTCCTAGACAAAAAAGACTGTTGCTCCAGTTTCAGCTACATCATTTCTGTAACCTGCCCATTGTTCTTCCCAAACACCAAAACCCTATAAGCAATATTGCACTACTCAGAGCTATTTACACAGCAGAGACAATATCGATAGGGTTCTAGGATCTGGTGATGAACAGGAAATTTTTTAATTACATGGAGGAAATTTACTGACCAATTATGATAGTCTCCAAACCTCATTCATGTCTAGTTAAAAGAGCAAAAGATTGATCAATTTCATTCATAACCCTCAGTTATAAATTACTCTCTTGGAAGCCTTGTAATCAGTGAGGTTGCTGTTTAATCAACTTTGGCTACCTATGATTATTTTTTAGGCACATTATTATCTAAATATTTTTAGAATATTTAAAATAAAACTAGTAAAGTTTTAAAGCCCGAGACATTCATATTTCATATTCACAGTTTTCTTTTAAATTGGTAATAGACACAAATGGGAAGTTTTATATCAATCCTAAGAGTGGTTAATAAAATACACAACTTAGCTGGGAAAAGTCCATAGAAATCAATGTTAATGCCCCAAACACAGCCAAATTACATTCTGCCAATTGGACATCCTTGGAAGCAGACTGGGACTGTAAGGAAGATACTGTACAAATGGGAAAAGGAATAGTTTAGGAAATAATTTTGAGTTTACAGAGCATGCTACCTTTTAATAAACATGTAACATTCTGTTATACTAGTTTTTATCATGACCAGCTTAAGGCTTAAGGTAAAAGGCACACTATATTACATACCACTCAACTATTAAGCAAGGAGAAAAGACTATAACTGCAGTCCAGTTTAAAAACACTTCTTTACGAACAACCCATAGATTCTCACTGTCACTAAAATGGTTCCATTCAAAAGGACCAGGGCTTTTAAAGGTTCAAACACATTCTCTTGTAAGAAAGCCTGTCTCAATAGCATCAAAACACAGGGAAGTGATGGCGGGAAATATGGCAGTCTTGCCAATGGCG